GTTGTTTACGTGAACTTTGTGTGGCGGAGACTCTATAGTTGAATATGTAAATGGTCATTAAGTTTGCTGAGATTGTAAGAAAAACTCAGTGTTCTATAATGATGTGTTGCACTTAATCCTTTTAGGAGCTCAGAAAGAAGGAGCAGCTGGTTTTTTCAAAGGTGTTGGAAAAGGCTTAGTGGGAGCAGTAGCTAGGCCAACCGGAGGAATCATAGACATGGCAAGCAGCACATTTCAGGGTATTAAAAAGTAAGTAAAGTAAATATGAGGATGACATATAGCATGAAACAGATGACAGTAGTAGCAGTAGTACGTTGTGTCTTTGTATCACTTCTGTGCCAGTATTTCCGGAGGTCTTGTGTTTGTCATTAATACAGATGAGCTATTTATGTACATACTGTTATTATTATTATTATACTGGAAAGAAGGACTTCTCATTTGCATCAAAAGTTACTTTTTGTATTATTACTACTATATGAGATGAGTTCCAAGACTACCAGGTCATGCCAAGGTCTGTTTCAGTTTTTCAGACTGTGAACAATGTTAAGACTGCATATTGAATACTCTGGTAGTCTCATTTTAATAAACTTGTTGCTGTAGATTATTGCACAAGAATAAAGTAGGAGAAAGCATTCAGAGGGCCATTTGGTAGCTTTATATGACTACAGCTGTTTAATGGCCCGGTTCCTCTCAGTGAGCTGGACCACTTTTGCTGCCTAAGTTTGCCAGTCTCTTTGGTTTTCCACTTCAAGTTCTTTAGCGGAGAAGTTCTGTGTGGCACAAATGTCTTAATTTTGAAGACTTGAAGTCTTAATTTTGAAGACTTGCTACCAGTTAAATACTGCAGGCATGTGCTGCCATTTGCCGTCTAATTTTCTAATAACCATTCTCTGAAACAGATTTCTGAGTAAAATCCATTACTGTTTCATAGAATATCTACTCAATGGCTTTTCATATGCAAAAGTACATATATAGACAACAACAGTTGCTGTACTGGTACTTGAATTTAATTTGTATTTAAAATACTGTAGAGCCTCTGCTAAAGATTATGACTGAGTTAGATATATTTAACAGATACCTTAGATTTGCTGTTTTATTGTCAGAGTTGCAGATTCATCAGAAGATGTGGTAAGCCTGCGTCCACCTCGCTTCTTTGGTGAAGATGGTGTTATTAGACCTTACAGATTAAGAGATGGAACTGGAAGTCAAATGTTACAGGTGAAGAAAATGAAAGATAAATTTACATGCCTTTAAACTCATTATATCATATATAGAAATAAATATTTAACAGAATGTCCCATCACTTAAATTCCCTACCACCCCTTACCTCCTAACTCAGTAATCAAGAAGTTTCATTTAATTTCTTAGGCTTATGACCACTTCGGTGATTTAGTTTCTGTGGTAAAACTTTTGAGAAAGATACCAGAATTTATACCAGTATATCTGTAGAGATCTGTGCAAGATACAGAGCATTTTGAAAGCAAAAAAAAAAAAAGGTTTATATATGTAATTAAAGAGCTTTATGTCTGTAGTTTTTATTTTTGATAAACAGTTATGATAAATACAAATATTTTTTTTAATGATTTTGTAATACTCATTTTAAGCAGTGACTTTTTAATCTCAATTTTAAACACACTTAAAATAGCTATATTTATGTCGTACTATAGCCATTGAAAGAATGTAAACAGTTGCGATGTGGAATACTATTTGCATGAAGAATCTACTGAGCAGCAGTAATTCTTTAATAATTCAGCTGCCATTTAAGTAAATTTGACTCAGGTATTGAAGTGGAAAAAATTTCAACTCTTATGCAGCTTACAATTTTTTTTTTCTCTGGTAGAATTAAAACTGCACTTTAAATATAACAAACAAAGTTGTAATTAGTGATTCCATGAATGTAAACAGAGTTTTAAAAGTACATGTTGAAGGATTCAGTGTGATTTACAGTGTGCCAGAGAAATGTTGGAGAAGTCCTACAGAAATAATCTTTTTGGAGAAATAGATAAGTATGAAATAGCCTTTGGAGGTGATTTTTAGTCTGTTTTGAGAATTGTCACAGCTCTTTGTTTCATGTTGAGTTCCAATCTGGTTATTTCTGTTTCTTCTGCGTTTTGTTAGTGTGTCTTTTGTTTTCTGGTAGAAGAAATTGGCTTGTCCCATTTGGGGCGTCTGAGCTATGTTCACCATACCATGCACTGGTGGTCTAGTAAAATGTGAAAGGTCTTTCACCTGCCTCTGCTTTTCTTCTAATGAAGTAGCTTTTACTCATGCTCACCAATTTAAAGCTAGTTTTATAAAACAGTATTACCTGAACTAGAGCATAGTTAGAAGCTACTACTGTTGAGTGGTGTGAACTTAGTGCTAGTCTGTCTTTCTTTTTGCTAAGAAAATGAATTCCAGAACATCCCCTTTTCTGTTTTAAAGGGTACCACTAAAATAAATGCTAGCAAGCCAAGAGACTCAGCTCTAATATGCAGACTTTTCTAATGACTTTGCATTGCTTTTGCTTCTTTAAATTTGTACATGTTTGCATTTTGGTGTTTTGGTTTTTTTCTTGAGAAAACTTAAAAATTCTTCAATGTAATACGTAATTCTGTTTTTTCTCTGTTAATGTGGTTGAATACAGTCATACCACCTTCAAGTATGCAACCTATAAAAGTATAAAACACTGCCTTGTGTAATACCTGTTATATTTTATGATGAAAGCCAACTTGAAAGTAACAAAATTTGATAAATGTTATGTGTCATACTAGTTTTCACTACTGACGATTCTAAGGCAGAACTGCTCTTGAAGGAAAGCTTTGAAAGGTTTCAAATGGGGTTGTAATGCTCCCTTTAGACAGTCAAATCAGAAATTAATTAATTTTGGGGTTTTTGTTAGATAATTTCAGATGTATATTTGATGTCTTAATCTTATTTTATCCTCAAGCATGCTAATATTTTTGGTTCTTAATGTTTCTGTTCTAGAGATATTTCCTATTTTGCATGAGACTCGGTGTATTGCATGTCCCTTGTTCCTGTTCGAGAGATATTTCTTTTTTTTGCATGAGACTCGTTGTGTTGCATGCCCCCTAGCTGAAGCAGTTAGAATAGTATATTTTCTTCTGAAGTTATAAAGATTATTCCCACTTCCGTGTTATTTCCATGCATACAGGTGTGGTAATTGGCCCCACTGCAGTCACTGTGTTGTAGGATTTTTAGTGGATTATTGGATTAGACTGGAATAAAACTTTTAGTGCTTTATAGATTATATCTGCTGATGAAACAAAATAGGTTACAGGTGATTTCATATGCTCATACTGTGTCCTAAACTAGGATGTCATTTCAGAATTTCCTTGTCTTCTGTTTTGTTTTTTTTCTTTAATTAACAAATTTGCCAAACAAACTAATACTTCTAAACTAATACTTCTGCTTTCTTCTTCCCTTACCATGCTTACAGAAAAGACAGGCCTACAGGGAATGGACTAAGACTCACAGTAGTAGTGATGATGATGACAGTTAGGATAATACGGGCTGTAAAAGCTATACATGGCCTTTGTCACGTTTTTTTGAGCTTTAAGTATTACCTGTTGCTGCTGTAATTCCCACTGAGAAACTGAGGTTGTCTGACATTAAATTCTTATTTTTAAAACTGTGCAAAAAATGGGAGGAAATAAAATGTATGATGATGAGTGCTAGACAAAGAAGCAAAGAATAAAAAGAGTCTTATAGGTAAAACTGGATATTAGGTGAAAATAGTATATTATAATATTACGAAGAATTAGTAATACCATGACTTAGAATTTATTTCCAGATATGTTCCTTTCAAGTGTATTTAATATTTTTGCATTTATATAAGTGTTTGACAGGTTTTATTGAGAATTGGATAGATGGAATGCTTTTAAATGTGTTTAGTAAAACTTTTCTGAGTTGTATAGTCATTATTGGTGTTAAAATGCTGTTTGGCTGTTTTATTTATTTCATATTTCAGAAGTATTTTGTCTGCTTTTTAACAATAAACACGTCTAAAGTATATCTAAAATGGATTCATCTGTTCTGTTCCAACATTGTTTCTCATTTTTCCTGGAACTAAATTATGAAAAAACCACTAAATGTCCTATAGAAGTATTAAAAAGATATAATACATATATTTGGAAAGAAACATTTAAAATAAACCTTAATTTTTTCATCCTGAGAAAAGACACATCATGCCTAAGAGTTGAGGAAATTGTTAGGCACAACTTTATGGAAAGGTTACTGCTGCATTTTAATAACTTTACTGGGTTTTCAGAACTTTAAATATGTTACTTGACATTTTCTTCTTACTTTTTGCCTTTTAGTGCAATTTCTATTTTTATCTGATAAAATTTTGAGGTTTTTCTGTAATGACCTGTCTTATGATAGAATGCCATGTCAGTTGTATAACAAAACATATTTGCTTATTCTAAAACAGTTTTAGAAAGAAGTATGAATAATTTTTTGACAGAAAAAACATCCCTGCAGAACTAAGAATTAGATTTTTAGAAATAATATTTTTCTATCAAATTGACCTAACTCTCTGAGTTCTTTAATTTATAATTCTACAGATCATTACAGAATGTGGAAGCAAAATCCACCACGAGTGGTAGTACTGCTGGGCTGGATATCACTAATTCAAGTTTCCCTGCAATATAACCAAGAAGAATTCTTTACTCAGTATAGTTTGAAAGGTTGTAGGATACTACTTAAAAAACTAAAACAAACAAACCAAAAAAATGTTCAGTATATTATATAAATTGTAAAAATTTATGGAGTCTGTATTGTAAAAAAAAATAAATTGTCTAGATAGTTGACAAATAGGATTATATGCCTTAGCATATTTTGTCTCTTTCATGTATACATATGAAATTTCTATATTTACAACTTTCATATATATATATAAAATTAGAAATTGTATTTGGAGTATAGTTTTACTTTTGAAGTTTTCATTAATAAAAAAAGGTAGCAATTTTGTACAAATATTTTTTTCTGTATGGAATCTAGTTTCTTCTGAATATACATTGGGAAAAGACATTATTTGGATTGAGGGTAACAAAAAATTGCATCACCTGGGATACTGGGATGTTAGGATTTAATTTCTCTCTAAATTGTGAAACCTAAAACCTCTGAAAAGCATAGTATTTAGCCGAAACTGATACTACCCTCAAGGCACCAAAATGCAAAAAAAAAAAGAAAAGAAAAAAGCAAAAAAAAAGCAAAAACAAAACCCCATAAACAGTTTAGAAATTATTTTCTTTAGGGATTTAAAGTAATATATCAAAAAATACAGACCAGGTTTTCAAATCTCCCCACTCCCCCCCTTTTTTTTTTTTTTCTTAATTTTAGTGTATTTCATAGTTTAACTTTGGCTGTACAGTCTTTTACCCCACTTTTTCACTGGCGAATTGAATTTAAAGTCCAGTACTGTTGCTGAAAACTCCAGGACTAATACCATACTTTCAGCTCAGGTTGCCAATTTTTCTACTCTCAGTTACAGAATAAGTTGATGATTCAGTTTTTCCCAAGTGTTTAGTTTTACTCTTTTAGTGTCTTGTATAATGGTAACTTGCATTTATATGTTTCCTCCTTGTTGAGATGCAAAACTGTCTGTGGTTGCTATCTTTGACGTTATCTGGTATATCCCTTTTGATCAGGGTTCTCTGGTCTTTGTGTTTTCTGAAGGGGTTCAGTAGACTGAAGTCAGTTCCTGGGATCATTTAATGGACTGTTTATACCTCTGCTGTTGTTAGTTATTTACAGAAGCCTTAGACCTGCCAGAAATCACTGGCCTTTGCCCTGCCAAGGAATAAAGCTGAAGGACAGGCCAGTTTCATCATGCTTATGAACCTAAGTCATTGACACTTGCACCATGAAATCAGCAGAGTTCTCTGTGTCGCAGCTCAGTACCTACCCAAACCCAAAATAAATGCAAGACCTTTTTTTAATTTGCCTAGACAGTATATGAGTTCGTGAGCGTTATTTTACAGTGTTGTGTAAGGTTGCCGCTTAGCTGTGCTGCAACAGATGTAAGCTTGTAGAGAAGACAGTCCTTCAAAGCTGTGTCCTACTGTATCAGCTTTCAGTTCAGTGATCATTTTGTGGTCATGAGGTAAGCTTCAGATCTGAATGTTGGAATGGGTTGAACAGACCCTTGTTTCTTAGTATTTGGACTTCAGTCTGCTAGCAAAAACATCTGAGGAGTGGGAAAAGCGTGTCATGCTTTTGCTTCCCTTGAGTTTGGGTTCAAATCAAAACATAAACATTCATACTGTGAAATATCCAGCCCCCTTGGAATAACATTTGGATATTTTTACATAGCCATTGCCCACCTCTAAATAGAAGACGTGTGTATATTTATGGGAAGCTGGCTGAAACTAGCTGACACCAATTGTTTGAGAAGAACATGGATGCTTGTGTGACTCAGTTTAATTTTAGCTTGTTTGTGACCAAAGCATAAATCTTTATATATGGTTGAAAATCAAGAATAAACTAGAAATGTCCTAGGCAAAGCATACACCAGCTTGCTTGCTGACGGAGACTACAGAAAAGAAAATTGAAATATTTTTCTGTTTCCCTGCTGATACAGTAATCACTTCAGATGCTGGAAATCAAAGGACTTTGTTCTATTCTCAGGTAATACAAAGAACACCTAGATGTGGTCATTGTAATGGAAGTGTAGATCAGTATGGTTTCACCATTCAATTCATCAGATGAATTCTTTTAGTATTCACAGAAAAATTTGACCAAGATAATTCTGCCAGTGAGCAAAGACAAATTATATTTCTGTTGTGAACTATTAAGTTGATGTTCTGAAAGAAAGCTGCTGTTCTTATTTTTGCTGTCCTGCATAGTGTGGCGTTAGATTGAAACGTTAACTTCGACTGGGAATTTCTGGTGATTTGAAAAAAAACATGTTGATTTCAGAGTTACTGTTCAGCATGGCTGATTTCGGGCACTAGCACATCACAGACAAAAGCTTTGATTTTTGTGAAATGACATTGCAGATTAGGATAATGAAGGAGTAGGCAACAAAGGACTGACATTAGTTCTTACTGATAAAGGATGAGGACAGAATTTTGCTTAGCGGAAAAAGGAATAATTTACATGTTTTTGGTTTTTTTCACTATTTGGTCTGCCCTTTTTTCACACAAATTCAAGCTAAATCTAACAAATAACACCGGTACTGCTTAGAATTGTTAAATGTTTCTATGGGGAAGACTTGACAGGTTAGCCTGATGAAAGTTGCAATTCTGCAGCTTTTGAAGAAGTCACCTTATAATTTGACCTGAAAGATACATTCAATATTGGAGTTTCTAGCAACAACAGTGAATTATCTTCAGAACTTGCACATTTGGACAGTAATCAGTTCATAAGGGAATACTCTAGCCATCCAGTTGAAAACTTGAAGGTAATCTGAACATAAAAGTAGCAGATTTATATCCAATTTTTAAGTAGTAATGGTCTTTGCAGTATTTTTTTTTTACATTTCATTTCACTTGAAGGAATTCAAGAAGGATATCAAACATTCTGACTTTTGTATCACACATACTTCTGGTATTTTTTAGAATTATAACCAGAAGTGGTTTAGGTTTTAAATTTTGTCTGCACTACTGACACCCTGCTCTGTTTTATTTCTAACTTTGTCAAAGTCCTCTGTGCTTGCTTTGATGAATTAGGAGCATGTGGTGTGAGTAGGAATCTTTCCAAATGCAGAGGATGCCACTTTTAAGACACTAAACCTATTTGCATACCCATCTCTGCATAAATGATCACATCTACTGTTAGGTAATTACAGGGACATCTAAGCATTGGTACTAGAGGTAAGTATAATGCGCAAAGGAGAGGATTTGTGCTTGGATTATTTCACGTTTTACAGTTGCTGGAGTGTCTTTTTTTTTCAGTAGATTAATTCAGTTTTCATATCTAATCAATGAACTGTAACATATACTAGTGTAATCATGTTGTTAAATTTTTTTTTTAATTTGAAATACAGAAGCTGTGTTTAAAAAAACAGATTTTTTTCTAACAGTGGTGAAACTAATATTGAATAAGCGATTGATCACTGGTAACTATGCATCACCAAGCAGTGGTCCAAGTTGCTGTCTTTCTCTGATTGATTAGTAGCTGAATATTGTAAAATTAAAAAACATATTTGTGCATTTATATTGAGGGATCGATTATATATCCTTTCATGTTTGAGTTGTATAAGGCACTTTGGTTAGCAGAGTGCAGCGGTGGTCTTGCTATTAAAAAATTACCACCGGTAGGATGGTGTATGCATCTTGTGATGTATTTCCTGATGAACATGTGGAAGTCTAATGCTAAAAAGGTAAAGACTGAGAATGAAGGATAGAAAATTATAAAGTCATAAAATCTAGAAGTAGTTACTGCTCAGCATTGGCTTAGATACAAGTGTTACTTTTGCAAATGGACTGTGCGACATTTTCCTGTGCTTTATTTCCCAATTAATGTCTGTAGGCTACAAAACTATAAAACACAGATAACTTGAATTTATGATCTTGACTCACAGCTAACAATGAGGAGTAGTTAGCTCAGCACGTGCCACATACTAACAATATTTTTGTGCTGAGCAAATTGCTTGTTTGTGAATCTTAGTCAAATAAAATACTTCTGTGGGAGTTTGGTGGACATTTAAATGGCTTTTGTTTGGCAACCTGTCTGATAGTTAAGTACTGTGCTTTTCATAATTCTCAATTCAGTATTGGTAAACTAAGTAAATTACAGTGGGGTAACATAACTTACTGAAAATTATCTAGCAAGCTAATGAGAAGACAGACAGAGGTAACTCTGCGCTCTTAATTCCCACGTAAGGGGGATTAATGTTTGGACTGAGAGCCTTACCTCAGTGCTATGCAGAGTGTAAAGAAGTTATCGTCTTTGATGCATGAGAAAGACTAGAGATTCTCTTCGTCTTAATGAGGCTAAATTACTAAACGCTTCTGCCCTATAATTGCTCCTACTGGTCATGCTCTGTGAAATTTAGAACGTGTTTGGTCCATAAGAGAAATTGCTGGCATTGTCACAGAGTCATGCAGATTAAATGTTTTTCCCTGTCTTTCTCACTAGGCCACTAACACTGAAAATCCATCAGGTCATAGAACTAGACCAGAAGCCTGTTATTTGGGTCAGTTATCCTAACCATGTTGTCTGTCCATACAGCCTCCTCCTCCGTCTTCTAACCGTGCAGCATGTTGTGTGCCAGAATGTTGCAGAGGCTACTTCAGGAAACAATTGTTTTTTGCTGTTGTTTAGTTATGAAGTAGGAGCTTGGACCTAAATACGAGAGGCAGGGAGACACTCAAATTGGGTGCATGACAACCCCTAGACAAAGCTTGAATATTTAAATGAGTAAATAAGTAAATTTGCTTTCCAAGCCCTTAACTGCTCATTTCCTATGCCATTCTTCCTGCTGTACTTTTCTTGCTGCTGACACTAGGTCTTGCAGAAATAAATTCAAGCAGTGATTTATGTAAGTAGGCACATGATCAATAGCTGTGATTTTTATAGCCCAACAGAGATGAGGAGAGAGAAATAATCTGAACATAGAGAGCTTTCTGGAAAGCAGTCTTTTGGGAATCTCAAATGTTTGTACATTTTAGTTACTAAGAAATCAGCATCTTTGAGGGAAGGCATCATTTACAAAAATCCGTTTGGGGAATGAGAGTTATCCATGCAGCCAAATTTGAAGTTGTAGGGTAAGCCTAATGAAATGTCTTTGCCGTTTTACAGTGGTGATGAGTACTCATTAAATGGTTTTGCCATTTTAACTGCATTGAGAACTGACCTATATGTTTTTCAATAGCATACATATCTGAAGTAATATGTTTGTAGTTAGGGATTTATTAAATCATACTGGTTTATACTGATGAATTTTTGCTTTTGATTTTGTAACAGGTTGGAGGTATTCAAGCAGTCATGTTGCTATTCCCAGCTAAGATGCATCATTCTTAATACGAACACTAATTTAATCACTTGTTGCTCAGAAAGTCAGAAATCTAATGGTTGCCAAGTCACGTTAAAGTTACAGAGCCTCTGTTTTTTAAAAATTTGTTCCCCACTGAAGAATATTGTGCCACAATATTAATGACAACTATAGGAAAAAATAACTAAGTTCAGGGGGAAACAAATGAATACGGACAAATGCTAAGCATTTCCTCAAGTGCATAATGAAGTCCCACATGTGATGGCAGGTGCTTGCAAACAGTTTAATTCCCAGAGTTAATTGCTCCATTGTTTTGGAGGTGGCTTGACATAAATTAGGAAATTAATCCTTTCGTCTTTTGTTGTCTCAGAACTGTATGAGTCAGCAGAAGTTTGGCATGTACTTAAAATATGTAGAAAACTGAGTTCTGAAATATTTTGAAAAATTATATGGTTCCTTGGCAGTTTTGGCTAGGGTTGATTTTGATTTGCATAGCTACATTAGCAGCAACTGAATGGTGCTACATAATTATGAACGTTAGTTGTCACAGACCTGCTAGACATATTCTGACTTTATAAAAGCAGCCTTTTATTTTAAAGTATGTGCTGTTTACTTTGTTAAAATTTATAATTTTGAAGCATAAATACATTTTAAGCACAAGTACAGGAATTTATACTAGCATATTCAAAGCTATAACACTTTATCTCTTTTAGAAAATTGAAAACGGAAGATTTGCAAAACTAAGATATATTGCACATGCTATGGTCAACAGTACAGATCTGTTAATGGTAACAAAAAGGTAAACAGTTTTGACTCTGAATAATAAATACATAAAACTGTCGTAAAAATTGCTGATGAGTAACTGTGCTTTGGCATGCCTGTCATTATGTATGTGGATAAAATAATGGGTGAGGTATGCTTAGTGTGCTGTCCATAATCTCATTCAACAGCAAGCATTGTTTGGCACAAAATTACATTATTTTTAATGTCACAGTACTTTGGTGATTGGGATATTGGTTTATGATGAGATGACAAAGATTTTATATAAATCTGGGTAGGCTGAGGTCATTGGAAATGTGGGATTCACTTATAAATTAGCAAATTGAAGGAAACATGGATAATACAGGAACAGAGTCAATAATAATGCCTTGCAGTAGAATGTGAGGCATCCTTCTGAAATAAAACATCTATGGCTTTTTGTACAAGTACAGCTAAAACTAGTGCAACACAGTATTAAAATAAGAGGAAGGTTCAAAATTTACTCTTTTGGAAAATATGCTGTATTGTTGTGCAATGACTTCACTAGAACTAGGGTAACTTGATAACTTTTAAGTATTTTTAAATTAATTTTTAAATACTAATTTTATTTTCTGGTGTCTAGTGGTGTGCTATTTGTGACAAAAGGGACATTTGGACAGCTGACATGTGAATGGCAATACACTTACGATGAATTTACCAAAGAACCATTCATCGTTGATGGCAGAAGATTACGCATTGAAGCCAAGGTACTTTAACCTAATCATGGTTTCTTTTCTTTTTTGTGTTACTATTTATAAAATTGAACTTTAAATTCCTGATCTCTCTCCTTTGAATCCCTGATCACTCTTCTCTTGATGCACTCAAAGAAAGAAGTTGAAATTTGGCGTGGGCAGACTCCTCAGATAACTAGCTTCTGACTGTTCATAGCAGAATGGTGACATAGGGTTTGCAGATGAAATTATTCCTTGAATGCTGAGAAGTTTTGTTGGTACACACCAGTTCATGGTGTATTCATAGTCTGGAAAACGGTGATACAACAAAACTCCCTTGGAAGAGCGCAGAATATTTCCATCATGCACTCTTGTGCTGTGAAAATATGCCAATACATGGACTTCTACCTTGTTGCAATCCTATTTGTATGTCCTGTGCTTCCAGGATTTTTTTCTATTTGCTAGTAATCAGATTCTTACCTTCAGATTAGTACCGTCATAAGAACTGTAATGACCTATGCATATCCTTTTCAATGCAAGTTCAAGAATGTTGCTCTCTGTTGCAGTTTTTCTTGTAAAAAATCACAGAACTTTCCTTCCTTCATAAAACAGGCAAAGGACATAGGGAGAAAGATGGCCGCTGCTGATGGAGTGTACCTAACAGACACAAAGTTCCTTTATTACTAGTTTTTTTTATTTCTTGTTGAGATGGTAATTGAATTTAATTTCAATCACTAAATTTACCTCCCAGTGTTCTGTTTTGTTTCTGTTTTTAATAAGCTTCCTGTATATAATTACACATCTTAGTTGTCAGGACAATCTTGAGAGTGTACAAAGTCACTCAGTTTTTCACTCAGATTATTTGTTTCTATTGCAGAGAGCATGAAAGGCAGAGCCATATTGGTTTGGAATCCTCCAAACTGGATTTCTGACTGCAAGTGAACTTTTACAGAATGAAATAATTCTTAGAGTTTCTGCCATTTCAGACAATGCTGAATAACATATCCATCTTTACCCCTACACAGCAGTCATTTCAGAGTCCATTCCCATGTCTGCAGTATGCTCTTTATTGAAATTTATGGTTGAAAACTGTATTTTGCAAAGCACTGCTTATGTTCTGTTTCCGAAGCCTAAGTTGCTGTTTTCACTACCTAAGACCACTACTTGCAAGTCAGGATTGGTGGAATGTCCACCCAGTTAATGACTTAAAAGAGAATGAAAAATTACTACCTTAAGGAGTACTGGATTTTGTTACCCCCATATTTCATTATCTGCCTTCCATTCCTGCACAATTTATAGTCCGGTCTCCAGGGACTCCATGATAAAAAGGGAAACCTGTTATTGCCGGAGTGTTCCACTCACTGTGCTTTCATGCAGAAAATGAAGTTTCTCAAGGTGTGTGCATGTGATGTGAACATACTCAGATTAGTGTAATGGGTACACACGGCTCGCTGAACCATAGATCTGCCTTAATGGTAAATAACATCTTAGTTGTAAAGTTTGAAGAAACTAGCTTTGATTTTGAATGATTTTTTTTTCTTTTTAGGAACGAGTTAAGTCTGTGTTCCACGCCAAAGAATTTGGAAAAATTATTAATTTTAAAAGTCCAGAGGATGCTAAGGTAAATTCAAAATACTGTTACAATTTTACTGTGCTAAATTTGGCTTAAAAAGTGAAACATAAATATTCTTAACCTGAAACTACTATGTATAATTAAAATTCAGTATTTCCACAGAGCAATTACATGGGTGATACTGGCAACAATCTTTTCAGTACTGAATTTCAAAAATACTGAATTCCAACATGAATCTTCTCCTTACATACATGTTTGGAGTAATAATTATCTGTCAAGCAGGTGATTTAATGGTACTACTAACTAAAACAAAACAATTAAGAATGTGAATTAAAAGCTATGTTGTAATAGAACAAAACAAAAGTATGTTGTAATAGAAAAAAAACCAGCCTCACAAAACCAACAGGAATGTGAATATGAGGGGAAAGGTCACTGTGAGACAGGCTTGGTAAGGAATGTCTTTGAAGGTCCCCTCCACCTCAAACTATGCTGTGACTGTGGTTTTATCTTAGACAAGGAATACTTAAGAGATTCATTCCAAAATCACCATGAGGGCCCCCTTCCTTTGTCAGGTTTTGGGGTTTCTTTAGGTTCCTGAAGAAACTAATTTCCCTTCCATGTTCAGTAAACATGTGAATTTGAAATTCCTGAAAAGAACCCAAATATAGTTAAGAAAGCTTCTTTCTAAATAACTGTGTTATCACATTGCTGGAACCTGTTACACTTCTCTGTCTTCCATCATCCTTGCTTCTGTGTCATCATCTGTGATTTGTCTAGAGTTGTAGATTAATGCAGAACATTAATAATGATGTGAGTGAAACGACTGTCATTTAAAAAATATTATTCATTGAAATACAGACCAGGAAACCGAAATACCAACCTAGCCAGTTTAATTAGCTGTAGTACTCAACATCAGCTATCAATACTTACATGTCTGCATTTCCACATGAGAAAATCAGGTGTTTAAAATCTACACTGTGTAGGTAGTAAAGTGTCTCGCCAACCCAATCTGATTTTCAACTGCTTTGTATGGTTTTTACCAAGAAAACATTTTTATTTTTTCCTTTTCATTCACACAGTGGATCCTTTCTAAACTGGAAGAAGTGAGAGAGAATCAGCCAAAATTGTAACGAATGGAGAAGCACCAAGATACAAAAAACAGCTACCTTTTAATTCCTCTTTAACAAGCAGAACTATTTGAATATCAGGAGTAAAAAAAATGGGAGAATGATTTATGAAATTGTTTATTATGGTTACAACAGTCTATGTCTATATCACAAAACAGATGATGTTGTTAAAAAAAGAAACAATCTAGTGATCAAAAAAATTCTGCCAAATTTTACCTTGTTTTGCTTGTGTTTTTTTTATGCAAGGATTCCAGATTTCATTTTTTATAAATACAATGTAAAATAAATCTGGTTTACCCTTACATATGATATTTAAATTGAACTCTGGAATAGTTCCTATGATATCTATTCAGATCAAATCTTGCAGTCTTTATTTGATTCTTAAAATCAGTACTTAGTTTTCATATGACTTGAGACTGTGTTGAAATTCACAGGAAATGTTAATAATCACTAGTCTTACAACTCAAGTCCTAAGAAAGAGGCCACTGACCAGAGAAGTCTCATTTAGATGGATGATCACAGGAGTGGCTGCTTAGTTAACAATATTTTCTTCTTGTAAATGAATGGACCAGGTCACAATGAATTTACAATACAATATCACTTTTAGTGTAAACTTTTTTTATATGCTACTAAAAGAAATGTTGAAGCATCTGTATCAATATTGACAGAAAATACAACCATTTACAAAAATGTATAATGGGGGAGAATTAATATCTCTCTACACTAAAATATTAGTTAAAGACTATTGTTATAAATAAAAGTTATTAACAGTCTTGCAAATCAAGAAGGAGTTTATGGGGTTATAAGTGCACTGTTGCACACTAAAAAATAAATGCCTTGGTTTACACAGTATTGTGTGCTAAGCAAGTGACTAATAAAGTCAGATTTATATTAAATAATAAATATAATAGTTCACTGTTGCTTTTATCCACTTTTGTCACCCAATGAAACTTTTTTATTTCTTATCTCAATAGCAGAACTTTAATAGGAAGAGCTTGAATGTGTGCAATTCTGCTTACTTTTTAGATGTCATAGTATTGTGAATAGCTATTTACCACAGTTGATATAAAAAGTACACGAACCAGTACAGCGTTATGTGAATGTTTCCGTAAGTTCATATATTAAACTCTCCAGAATATCTGGTACATATGTTAAGTACCTGCTCCCAAAATATTATTTCCAAACTATTGTTTGAAATATTTATAGCTATGGAATAGAATTCTGAAATTGCTGGTGGTGCTTGAGATAACCAAATTGTTGTATTACTGTAAAATCTAAAACATCTAGCATGCTAACCTGCAACTGCAGTTCTTTAGTTTACTGTAAGCCTTGCCTTTGGTGTTGAGTAACCATTTAGTGGGTTATGAAATACATGTGATCTTCTGATTTTTCCCATAAATCGTAAGTTGAATCAAGAAGTTTTAAGAAAATTCCGAACTATGACAATGACTGTGTTACTCCACTTGTTTGTACACCAAGCACGTAACAAGAGTCTTAACTCAGGTTATAATCATGCCAAACTAATAGAATACTTTGCCTTAGATAAGTAGTGTTATTAGGTCAAATGAGTACCATTCTGTATCCGTATTTTCTGTATCTGTATTCTGTATCTGCTTTTAGTTTGTGTTTTGGTTTGTTTGTTTGTGGGTTGTTTTTGTTTTTTCATCTTAGGCATAATAGTTAAATTAATAGCCTCAGCATGATCTTGATTCTTGATTACTGTGTTGCCTCCTACTTTCTCTTCCTGTCCCCAGTATTTACTGATGATCTGCTGCAACTTTCACTTCTAGTACCTCTTGCAAGTACTCTGCACAGTCCCGTTTGTGTAGCTTTTCAATTTACTCTGCTCTAAGTATTAGCTCTTCACAGAGCCTCTGTTTCAATTAATACCTCCAGTTCTTAACTTTCTTAATTTTGCCAACAAACTCCTGATTCTCAAATCTGGCTTTTCAGTAATATTTGAGCAATTTACCTGTTAATATCAAAGGATTTATTTTAAATGTGCATGTCTGCGGTTAAGATCATGTTCTGGAAAGCATAACAATTCCCCCCAAACTGCATTCTTCCTAGAGATTACAAAATATTTTGATCTTCTGTGGTAACTAGAAGCCTTAACATAAGAACACCTGAAGTGTTCAAAACTCAACACAGGACCTTTCCCCTACCTCCCTCATCTCCATTTGTAATGACAACGTGATCTTCTGTAGTTCCCTTTTTCTAGTCAGTAAATTCTATCTTTTGTCTTTGGGGGTTTTTTTCCCCTTAAAATTTATCATACAGTCCTGAACGAATTTCGGTTTCTTGGCAGGTACCAGTTCTCTCTGTTTTAGTGATACATCAGCCTGGGGTGAAGAGCAAGGTATTCAGACTAGGGCCATTGTGTAGTTTTTTGGATTACTGCAAGTTGTTTGGGTTGTCCACTCTGCCGTGCCTCATTCCTTATTGCAATATGTTACTTTTTTTAACTAGAAGGCAGAATAGATCTATTAATTTTTATTAAAAATGTATATGCAACTAGACAAGGGGATCTCAATAAAAATTAATATGTAGGCATTTAGGTCTGCCCACTGTGCTGTTTAAAAATATACCATGGCCTATACTGAAGTTCTGAAGAACAGTTTCTCTTCTAAATGACTGTTACCAAAACTTAATACCTTTGAGAAATGTCGTGTGAGTTCTCAGTAGTAGCTTAAGGGTTGGGATTACCTTTAAGAATTCAGTGACAAACCAAACATAGAATCAAAGATGATAGCTAAACACACTGCAAAAACACTTGCAAGTCTGTTTACCTCTTTTTGTTCAGCTGCATGGCTTTGCATGGTATGTCTCGCTCTGTTTCTGAACTCCTCCCCACCCTGACCTCTTCTTCACCTTGAATAAAGTGAAATTCAATTTTATTGGACTTGCATATGATTGTTATTTATTTTCTTTACACACTGCTTTAATGAACAGGTAATACCATTACTCAGAATTTCTTAGAAATTGACAGATTAAATCAAACTCTCTCTGAGAACACAAGGTCAGGCTTCTGTGGCAGCCATCTCAGTGAAAGCCGAACACAGATTTTACTCTGGCTTATTGTAAGGACAAGTTTTTAATAACTGGATTTAAGATATATAAGCTCACTTTAATCTATTTTTTTTGTTGCCACACTGGAAAAACAGATGATGTTGCCAGCTAACCAGATTCTTATGAAATCCTCGTTTCACCCCCCAAAAAAATTATTTTATGTATGCCATTATCTATTTATTATCTTCAGCACTTCACAAAATACACTCCAATGTCTAACAAATCACTAAGGTGTTTTGTTCCTTCTGTGTTATTTTTAGGCATCTGTCTGCAAATAACAAATACCAAGCATGTGTTAATAAAAGATTAATATTACTACGTAATGGTAGTTGAAATTTAATACTTATAGCATATTTTTGAAATTGAACTGCAAACCCTAAGCTTCTAGTTATTCTGTTGATGTAAAACAGTAAGTAAACACATCACAGGGAATTGCTAAATCTTGTGGCTTGTTTGCAAATAGCACCATATCCGTATGATATTTAAATAGATTTATATATATTTCCTGAGACTATACCACAAAGCTATTCAAAAGATTTTTTTTTTCCTCCTTGGGCAACATTTTGAGCACATTTTCCTTACTGAGCACATCTGAATTCCAGAAAAGAACTACCTAAAGACTTCAGTGCTTGGGAATCACAAGGTAAGAGTGCACAGTGTTTCTTCAGCAAATCACACAATTCCATGCTACATTTTTCTAGCAATAAGCTCTCCTAGTTGATCCCTCTCCAGCTGCCATGACTGGTCTTTCTTAAAGCAGCAAAAACTGAAGAAGCAACAAGTACCAGTGAAACATTTACCTCCCAGGAACTAAGAATATTGGTGGCTAAAGTTCTTAACAATTAATTCCTGAGGTGTTGGTTGAGATGTTTCTCTTCCTACATTGACCCATTTGTAACTGCTGCCAAGGAATGTGTAACTAAATAAAATGTGTTACTGAAATCAGAATGGGTGAAGGAGCTGTCTTGTCTCGCTGTGCAGGTTGTTATGGCAATTAATACAATACTGCAGAAAGTTTACAGTTTGGGCGCTTTTTTTCATGTATTTTTAAGGAATTGAGACTGTTTCAAAAGAACAGGGAACTGTTGGTGAATGCTAATATGCATTGTGTATTTATAATTGTCTCAGATATAATGTAAAGTGTTCTGACAGATTTGGTTTTCAGGTATATCACAATACTTCTTTCTTTATGCAGATAAAAATTTTGCTAAGTATTTCACATTTTTGCACAGAAAACATTTGTGTTTATCATCACCTTCTCTTGAAATGCAAATTGTCATTGTTTTATTATTCAATTCTCGGGTGCCTTATGCTATTCTGTCTAAAACTGAACAAATCAGCAGATAGCCAACACCTTTTTTTCCCCACCTATAACTGACTCTATTATTCAGTCAAGATTTGCCTATTACTGTTCTTACAGGTAAATTTAATTATGAAATTTCTGGGCAGTATATGCAAATACATATATACACTACCTAAGAGCCTTAGCTTTGTTATTTGACTTAAGAAATGTAACCAGTATCTTGGTTTTGTGAATGCAAGGGGGATCTAAGGATCTAAAATCTTTACAGCAGACACAGCATTTTTATAAAGAGGTTTTGATTCTTTTTCAGGGCAAATCTGTAATACCGGTTCTAAATATTCTTCTAAAATGGTAAAGGAGGAGTGAATTGGCTTTTAAGTCTCCTCTTGTATGTAGTAAAAGAATGTCCATGCCACTAATTTCTATTAACCCATCATCTCTGGACTAGTGCATCAAAGGCTGAAATGAATGTGTTTGCAAGGACAGGCATGATGAGGAAGGGCACTAATAGGCAAAACGGGCAGAGAGGGTAATGGAGATACCATTTTGCTGAATGTCTGGTTTTTTACATTTGTGGGTTTTCATTTCCTGTTGCATCAAATAGATCAAGAACTATGTGTGGAAGTTTGTCTTGGTAACTACCCTGTTGAATGTTTTCAAGGATTGGTTGTGAAGTTTGAAAGAGAAGCGTTCCTGTACCAGTGGGTCCTGTGAAACGGTAGTTGTCTCACAGTCTGCAGAGCTTGTCCTCTGGCAAAGCCAGGCTCCCTGACTCCTGGTGCCAATATGCTCTTCACATAGACAGCAAATCTTGACTCAGGATATGAAACCACTAAGAGTTTAAACAGACTTTTTCTAGAAGTTCCCAGAAGGGCTCAATCAAGCAGTTCAAGCATTTGGGCATTTCATACAGTTCCCTCCCTCCAACCTGCTGCCCTGGAAAAAAAAGTATTTTCTTCTCTTCATGTGACTGGAAGTTCTTAAGTAATGTAAAACTCCAGTAGCTACAGATTTTGTTAGAAGAAATACTTCTGACTTACTTTCTTGAGCAACAGTGATTAGTTCAGGACAGCAGTTCTGAGGACTCATCATGATACCAGTAGTTCTGAGGGAGGGCAGAGATGACGTTCTGGGGATGTGGATGACACACGCAGAGATGTGCTGTTTTACGTCTTGCTTTCTGTCACTCCCCCTCGGCCACTTCTTGTTCAGCAAGTGGCACCGCACTCTGTACCTCATCCCAGGGCGTGCTATGCTGTTCCCTTGGTGTGAATTCCTGACATTCACTCGTGTGGGCACAATGTGTAGGTCAGTGTCTTTCCCTCACAGAAAAACATTAAAGCAGCGTTAAAAGCAAGCATCTGCTTCTAGTGTTGTTCAACACGGAAGAAAGAACAGATGAATCAAACGTTACAGGCTCTTTTCTCCTAAGCAACCAAAGCCAGCTCCCTGCTTTTTTTGTACTGCTGGACAAAAGCGAACTGTGCTGTTCAATATGTGAAACAGAAAATTTTTTTTATGGGCAGTGAAAGGTCAGGGTGTGCTTTTACAGGAATGAACTGCGAGAACTGTCAGCCTGGCTGAACACAAAGAAGCACTTCTCATGCTGAAAAATCGATATAATTTGATTTTTTCCTGTACCGCAAAGAAGTTGCTGTCTTATGCTGCTAGTAAAAACTATTGCTATAATATTTCTACTTGGAAAAATGGAACTTTAATATTCTTAAACACAAGAGAACCTCAGCATCCCTTCTGGGCTGAATTACTGCTAATAACAGGCTGTTCTAATAAAACACTCTTCTTACCAGTGTTATCAGGTTAGCTGTACAAATGCCAGCAACTACCATAATTTTTTCATAGGTCAAAAGTGTTTTCAAGGTTGCCTTAATGTCTTTATTATTTTATCTGAGAATTTTTGATCCAGAGAAGGTGAACGGACTGAGCTATTAGTGCTGGCATCTTCAGTGGAGAAGAGAGGCTTTACTGACTCTAATCCATGCAAAACTACCCGTAAAACTCAACAACAGGAAAATGCAAAGTGCAAAAAGCAGTTTTGTTACTAAGACTAATTTAAGGCCTAGTTTATCACAGGCAGCTGTGGATGATTTCCTGTTGTAGTGAATGCTGAGAACATTTGCTAAATGCCTTGCTGTGTGAGAAGTGCTTTTTTCTCTTCAGAAAAGAGAAAATTCCATGGACTGTCTGCAAAATCCTAATCTGTCATTCCTTAACTGTAAAAGTGATTTTATTATTGTAAGGCACTTGAACAAAAAGGCAGTGATACACAAGATTAACCAATAATTAATCTTTTTGTAATGATTCCTAGAATATAACAGGTTTGGCCTATCAACGCTACTGGGAAATGCTTGTAAAAAATGTAGTTAGGCTTGCCGTTACCTTTCAACATTGCTCAGAACAAGAATATAAAAATGTCTAGCACTCTAAAATAACCCTAACTTGTCATTTTTAAGGCATCACTCTTTGAAATTTTATAAGCTACAGTTGTAAATGCTAAATAAAAATAATAATATCTTATGAAAATACCACCTGTATAACAATGTAATTGTGTACATTCTTCTAAATAAGCTTAATTCACACAGCTGTCGAAAAGTAACTCGCAGATAACACTAATATGGGAAATATGAACTCAGTATCTTAAACATATAGCTTAAACAGTAAACTTTGAAATTCATTCTTTAAAGGTCTCTGAATCCATACTTCAGTAAATATAAATTCTCCTCCCATTTCTGTAAATGGTATTTAAAAAGACACTTTTTTTTTTTTACATTCACACAGGCTGTGTTATGAGTCAGCTACACTTAAGTAAGCTGCAGCCACATTTTTTCCTTAAACCAAGTTGAACTCCCTCAGGTTTAACTGCAGGATCGTGTCCTTTACAGCAGCAAAGACAAAACGAATATTTTCTGTGTCTGTGGCACAAGTGAAGTGGGAATAGATTACTTTCTCCTTGTCTGGATTCTGATCCTGATACAGCTTCAAAATGAAGTCTCTGGCAGCTTTGACATCTTGTTTAGGTCCTAGTCAAAAACACAATCAGTAGTTTTGAACAGTTAGAGCTGTGGGTAAAGGAAGAAACCTATGGAGAGTATCTTAGATGGCTGATTTAATATTTAAACATCAAATTACCATAAAGTCATACTCCCTTGTTGGCATTTTCTCATTCATGTGTTAGTGGAGCAAAAGCTGTTAGAGCACCAGTTTCAAAAATGTGTGGAGTACGCTTTCCTCAATGGTAAACCTTACAGGTCAAAGTAATTTTAATAAAAAACCTAAGCAATTGAAATTACTCAGCATATATTAACTGTTTGCTACATTACTGTAGTATGTCAAAACCATGAGAGAAACTACATTTTTGAAAACACACAGGGTAAACAGGATTCTCTTTGGCCAACAGAGGGACGTATATTTTCTCTGTAGCTATTAAATCATTGCAACTCTTTTCATTATTAATTGTAGGATTCAATATGATACATGTAATAATACTGTATTAAGTAGCAGAATACATCTGTGATTATTTTCATCATTCTTTTGATACCTTCTTTAAGTATCAGTAGCATTCATTAAGGAAAGTTATTCAGGTTGCTTTTTAACTTTGGATTTTTATACACATAGCACATTATAATGATGAACGCAAAACTATACCCTAGTATAAAGAGCTGGATTAATAGCTGTATTCCCCAAATTTCCCCCTTATCTTGTCTCAGGTTGAAAGATGAAGCAGGTGCTTCTTCACATAAATAAAATAATGCTACTCTAATGATAACAGAATGGCTGTGGCTGCAAGAAGTCTCTCAAGACTCTGTCCGCAATGCTCCAGTAAAAAAAGTAAACAACAAAGTTCCAGTAAAACTGAGTAACTTAAATTTCTATAGAGTAGAAAAGCATAGATATCAAATATATTGCATAATCTCACTTGCTGTGCTCAGTTTAATGAGGAAAAACTAATTAATGGTTTAAATATGACTTTTGGGTTTGTTAAGATAATTTGTGGGATAAATGCTTACCTGTGTATTCTGGAAAGTAACTAATTAGATGAGAATACATGATTTTCTCTTCTAGAAGATCTTTTTTATTCAAAAACAAAATAACTGAAGAATTCAGAAACCAGGGATATGTAATAATAGTTTTAAATAAGGCCTTGCTTTCTTCCATTCGATTCTACGACAACAAAAATTAATATGAAATTACACTCTCTAGACAGTAGCATATAAAAATCACATCAGCCAGAGATGGTTTTTTGAAAGCTTTTTAAAAAATATTAGTTCTATTAAGCCCAATTGCAATGTACTAGTTGATCATGACACTTAATGTTCTCTGTCCTTTTCTTCACTGGATTTTGGATCACTGCTATGAATGGCATGATGGCATGTGAAATCAAGGAAAGCCCTTATAAAAGAAATGATTTGAATTCTGTATGAGTTAGTGAGAAGTCATAGACTGGTCTATGGCTTTCATAGACTTTTCTGACCTCACAATGAGAGCCAGAGCAGGGTGTATGAGGTCAAATACCTGATATTAACGTATTGTAACATAGCTAAAGGACAAGAGCATATGTACTTATGTATAGCAGTAATAAAGTCTGTCCATTTCAAGAGACATCTAAGGAACATCACATTCAGAATTTGCTGTTTGGAGTTCCCAGAGATAAGCTTGTGGTGGAAGTCAGTTTGTTATTTATTTCCTAGCATCTAAAATGAGAATAACAAAATGTTCGAGAGGGTGAAAGGAAAAAAAATTAGTCACCAAAGTTGTTCATGCATCGAAAGGAAACTGAGAACTTTGAAAACTCTATCTCAACTACAACAGCTCTTGTGGCACTTCAGCAAGTGGAGTATGCTTTTCATAGCTCAAACAAATCTTGAGAAACTGATCTGTAAGGACTTTGGGACTTTAGAGTTCAAACAGTGTTTTTGAAGGACATTTGAAGGAATTCTCATACTGTGGGATGTAAAGCAACCACTCCCACATGTAATGGAGTTCCATTAATATGCTTCTCCCTAATTGTCTACTATTTTCTTTTTTGCATCCTTCCCTACAACATCTGGTTGCTGCTGCTGCTGGCACTGTAGAACAGATCGGAAAACTCATCTTACTAACCTTGGAAAGGATGTAAATTTTAAGTTATTTTATTTTAATTATTTTAATTTCCTTAATTCTGAAAACATCAGAAGCTGAAAAAACAAACAATCATAAACCTAGTTACAGGTGACTGAGGTAGTTTGACTTTCTCAGAGATACTGCTGATATGCAAATGCTCAAACATTTGCCATGGCCTAAGTGATTTAAAACATTTTAAAATCAAGTTTTGTCTTTTAAGATAGAGTTCACTTTTACAGGCAGGCTCCTAATTTAATACAATGTTGGGGCTGCTTGAATAGCTTCTTAATGTGATTCTAATATTGGCAAATACTTTTATGAAGGAATGCGAATGCTGTCTTTCTTAAAAAGCATACATCTTTTTCTGTACCTCACAGAGCCCCACTCCTTACCTCGTTATCACATTCTGCCAAGACTTGATCATATTCACTTAAAGCAACTAAGAAAATGATGGAAGTAACACTTTCAAAGCAATGGATCCACTTCCTTCTTTCTGACCTTTGGCCACCTACATCCACCATCCTGTTAAACAGAAACACAGTATCATAAGATACTCTAAAGTATATCTAAAGGCCTTAGAATCACACAGAATTGCCTAGAATGAAAAAGACCTTTAAGATCATTGAGTCCAATAATTAACGTAATACTGGCAAGTCCTTCACTAAACCATGTCCCTCAGCAGTATGTCTACATGACTCTTAAATACCTCCAGGGATGGGGACTCCACCACTGCCCTGGGCAACCCATTCCAATGCCCGACAACCCTTGCAGTAAAGAAATTCTTCCCAATATCCAGTCTAAACTTCCCTTACCACAACTTGAGGCCATTAGTCCTATCACTTGTTACCTGGGAGAAGAGACCAACCTCCAACTCATTACAACCTCCCTTCAGGCAGATGTAGAGAGCAGTAAGTCTCCACTCAGTCCCCTTTTCCCCAGGCTAAACAATCCCAGATCTCTCAGCCGCTCCCCACAAGACCTGCTCTTGAGACTCTTCACCAGCTTTGTTGCCCTTCACTGGACACGCTCCAGCACCACAGTGTCTTTCCTGGAATGAGGGGACCAAAACTGGACACAGCACTCAAGGTGCTGGTGGCCTCACCAGTGCCAAGTGCAGGGGGACAATTCCTGCCCTGGTCCTACTGGCCATACTAATCGTGATGCAGGCCAGGATGCCGTTGGCCTTCTTGGCCACCTGGGCAAACGGCGGGCTCATGATCAGCCAGCTGTCAGCCCACAACCTCAGGACCAAGCAGCTCTCCAGCCACTCCTCCCCAAGCCTGTAGCACTGCTGGGGCTTGTTGTGGCCGAAGTGCAGGACCTGGCATTTGGCCTCATTGAAACTCATGGAACTGACCTTGGCCCAGCGATCAAGTTTGTCTAGATCACTCTGCAAAGCCTCCCTACTGTCAAGCAGATCAAGATGTCCACTCAACCATGTCATCTGCAGAAGATGCCCATCTAAGATAAGCTTGAACTGTGGGTATCTTAACATTATATGTTTTGTCTAAATTTGATTCACTTGCTGTAGTGCTATAACTTTCATTACTCTTTAGTGTTATTGTGGGTTAATCCCAACAGACAGCCAAGCACAACACAGCTGCTTGTTCAATACTCACCCCCTGCCCTGGGAGGAAAGAAAGAGTGAAAACAAGGAAACTTTGGGGCCAGGATTAAAATAAATAATTAAATGCTCAGTAAGTGAAGGATAAGTAAGTGGAAGAAGAGATAAAGAACACAAAACAACTGATGCAAAATCTATCACAACCTCCCATGTGTAGGCTGATGGCCAATCAATTCCTGAGAAAAAGCCAGACAACCTCCCTAAGGCCTCCTCTTTTCAATTTTATCACTAAGGATGATATGGTGTGAAATACGTCTTGTTAGTTCAGCTCATCTGCATGTCTGTGTCCCCGCCCAATTTCTTGTGCACCCCCCAACCTATTTACCGGGGAGCGGGGAAAGAGAGAAGCCCTTTACACTGTGCTCAGTAAAAGCTAAAACACTGTGAAGTTATCAGCACTGTTTTGATTACAAATCTAAACCACGTCACCATACCATCTGCTATGAAGAATATTAACTTTATCCTAGCCAGGCCCAAGTTTTTAAGTCAACGTGAGGCCTAATAAAAATATAATACTGTTTTTTCTTCTGTGTTGGCAAGTTTTAGCAAAGGCAGATGTGAGCGTATTCAATTTCGTTTACCCACACGCTCCAAAATCTTCCTCGGTCCCCTCCAAAACCCCCCATGCAGTCATAGCTCACTACTTAAAACAATCAAAATGCTCCCATATATCATAGTTCTATGGTTTTGCAGACACTCAACTAAGTTTCTCACATTATACCCAGGTCAAATTGTTCCCTAGAACATACTAGTTTCCAGGAAAAAAACCCCAAACCAACAAAATCACTAGCTGTTTTGACCATGTGTTATCAGAGTGGATTCTGGCTCTGTGTTGTAACTGGAGGCAGGTGTTTGTTCATGATGAAATGGGTGGTTTGGTGGCAGAACATCTATACGTACAACAGAGTGAATTCTGCAGTTTTTACCCTTAGAAAATCAGTAACCCCATCTGTTGCAATAGCTTGTGTAGTAGCAGGTAAGATAATTTTAAGCTTCTTAGACTTGCTTTCAACTTCATAGGTAAGTTCAATTCCACTAAACACTTTTCTTTAAATATTATATGGCAGGAAGAATTGAAATATCTACTGTCCTGCCCCTCTACTTCTTTCTTCCCTCCTCCTTCCCTCAACATCTTCAACTCACTTCCCAAACTTTTTCTACCCCTATCACTTGAGGGCTTTAGCATATCTATTATGGCTCTCTTTTCTAAACTGTTACAGTCAGGAGGCAGAAAATGTTGGCTTTAAATAGAATTAAACTACATTCCAATATGACCACTCATGTTATTACAACTATTTTTCCCCTGCACCCCTCCATCAAAGGCTTTTAATTCAAATAATAGTTCAGAATATACAGCACTTGGGCTCCTTGAGCTGAAAAGCTTTTTTTTTTTTGATGTAATGTAAACTTCAGAATTAATGTTTTGAAACACTGCTCAAGTTACTGTATTAACTCTGAAGACTAAAAGGGATGGACATGCATCCAATGCTCATTGAATGCAAAATCTTGAAGGACCTTAGAAGTAAACCTGTAGCAACCACTTTCATAATTGAATACTGCACCATTTGACTTACCTAAATATAATATTTTCTAAATCAAAAGGATACTCGATAATTCCTGTAGTTGGCACTCGGACTCTAAGAATATCTTGCTGAGTTGGCACAAATGAGGGCATAGCAATACGATCAAGGTCAGTAAGATAACTGGAAGGTTAAACATAGAACGAAAACAAAATTAATGCACTATGATATATTAATCACACAGATTCAAAACCAAAGTACTAACCTGCAATCACAGAAGTGTTACCACAAAGCAGCTAAACAGAAATTCAGCTGTGCATGGACTTAGCACAATTGTTGCTGGAATGAAACAGTAAAACCCTTTACTTTAACTGAGACCTAAATGTACATTCCAGACAGAATAACACTAGTCAGACAATGCCTGAATGTTTTCTAGACAATCACCCCACACCCAAAATGATGAGTTTTATTTGAATAATCTTTGCTATTACCCCAAAATAAACATCAGAATTAAGATTTGAATAAGAATATAAATGTCAGTCACAGCCATACTGTTTACCAGCAGCACTCTATTCCCTGTCACTTATCTGTGATGGTAATATTACACAAAACATGAAAGGTGGCTGGAGATAATTCAGAAAAGTATTAATTGACAACTCCTTCCATGAAGAAGATTTTCCTAATATCCAGTATAAACCTCCCCTGGTACAAACACTGCAAACATGAATGCTTCAAACTTAACGTATTTTTAATATAAAAGAGGCTGCATTTAATTTCTCATCTGCCCATGCAGTCATTCTTAACTTTTTACTCTCCTTAGCTTCACAAGGCTCCTGTGCTTTTCATGGCTGGGATTAAATTCGGGGGTGACTTTCCTGTGCCTCAATAAATGAGCAGTGTGTGAGCAAGAGACAAAAGAAACTACGTCTGGTATTCCTCTCTGCAATTTATCTTCCCACCACTAGAAGGCAACATTAGATCATCCAAAATCCTAAGAAGGCATACAAAAGCCACGCAACACGTTGTAGCACATACCTTCCTTGACCTAAGCACTAACTTCCCCCTTTTCTACTGATTGAAGAGGGAGAGTGTCGATGTACTCTCCTCTTGCTTTCCAACCATCCCTCACATTTGGACTCCAAAATAAAAAAGATTCAGACTTACTTTTATCATGTATTTGGAAAAGATTTAGCAATAAGAAAATCCCTCCACTTCAGAAACGTAGCAAATTGTTATGATGGTCTCAATTGAAATTAACAGTAAAATGAATAAATTTTAAAATAAAACATGTTCAGTTGAAGCTGATTTCTTAGAAAGTGAGGCCACAGTAGAGCAGCACCTTTCTTCACTGCAGGATTATTTAAGAACAAGGCAGACAAACTTCTGTCAAGAATGGCAACATTTGACACACAGGAGATTGCTGCCTGTATGTAACCATTCTGAGTTAAAGTTAACCATAAATGCCTAATCTAAATATTCCTTGCTGAAATTTAAACCTATTACTTCTCAACCTTGCAGCAACAGAAATGTAAATTTTCTGTTGCCATGATACAATCATTTTTTCACAACTAAATTCTTCGCAATTTGGGGGAGACACTTATCTTTGTTCCTACTTACATCCTAAGATTTTCATGTAACTGAACTGTCTGACCTGCTCCCTTGTTGTGAACATATTTTGTACAGCTGTTTTTCATTATTTCCCCCAAGGGAAACTCAGTTATGCACCAGCTGTGTTGAACCGTGAAGGATGATGGTTCCAGTACGTTCAGAAAGGCTAAAATCAGTTTGTTTCATCACTCCATCATGAAAATTGTTGCATACACACACCAAAAAAGACACAGGTATAACTAGTAAAATTAGAATGAAGCTATCTCATCTTTATGAGCCAGCAGTGTGCCCAGGCGACCAAGAAGCCCAATATTCTCCTGGCCTGTATCAGACATGGTGTGTCCAGCAGGACCAGGGCAGGGATTGTCCCCCTGTACTCGGCACTGGTGAGGCCACGCCTTGAATCTCCTGCATGACAAGTCTTAGGATGAAAGGAAATGGGGTCAAGTTGTACCAGGGAAGGTTTATATTGGATATTAGGAAAATCTTCTTCATGGAAGGAGTTGTCAAGCATTGGAACTGGCTGCCCAGGAAAGTGGTTCAGTCACCATCCCTGGAGGTGTGTAGATTTGGCACTTACTTAGGGACATGGCCTAGTGGTGGACTTCGCTTTGCTAGCTTAACGGTCAGACTCAACGACCTTAAGGGTCTTTTCCAAGATAAATGAGCCTGTGTTTAACCTCATTAAGTATCGCTCATCCTTGTAACTATGCCATGTACTTACTACTTAGCAGAATCTGAGAGCTGGTACTCCCTCCGTCTGTCATAGCATTCTTGAATTCCTGGGTCTTCCCAGAGCTTCTTGATTGCTTCAACTTGTTTACTTTCCAGCACTGTCACTTTATCCACTTCCACTTCTTTGATCATCTGAGCACTCTCCTAATTAATTAAATGGTTATACCATTATGACAAAGCATTGCCGTTGCATGCAGTACACATTCCTTTATTATACTCTTCCCATCAATAAGACTCTGCATCAGAAAGGAACTTAGGAGAAAATAAGCAGGTTTAATCCTTCAATGTATTTAATTTTTCAAGTCAACTGACTGCTACTGTATGTTTTAACCAAGTTAGTCTTGCATACTGTCATCCAGGTGTGACTTTTCCTTTTAGAAGGGGACGCTGACAAAGGTCAGCTGGAGCTCTAAACCTACCTAAACCTATTTTTAAACTCACCAAATTTTAAAACTGATTCATAATAGCAGTAATGTTTCTAAAATTCTAGATACTTTTAGTACAGATGCTTTTTGGGTTAATTGTTGGATTGGTTTCAGAGCAAATCAGAGGCTGATCTATCATAAAAGAGTCACCAAGCAAGCATTAAAATCCTACCAGTCATCTTCTCTTTAATGCTTATCTCAGTGAGATACAGCCAGAGTACTACTCTGTTGAAAGAAATATTGTTTCTTTGCTCTCTGCTGTTAAGTGCATCAGGTATTGCAAAGACAAATTTGGGGTTTGCTTTTAAGGGATACAAAAGTATCTATTGTTCTGCAGCAAGTGGTGGAGGGAGGGGATACCATCCAGAGGGGCCTGGAAAAGCTTGAAGAGTGGGCCCAAGCAAACCTCATGAAGTTAAACAAGGCCAAGTCCAAGGTTTTGCACCCAAGTTGGGGCAACCCCTGGTATCAGTACAGGCCGGGGGACGTAGTGATTGAGAGCAGCCTTGTGGAGAAGGGCTTCGGGCTACTGGTGGAGTATTGCAGTATCAAAGGCCAGGTTGGATGTGGCTTTGAGCAACCTGACCCAGTGGAAGATGTCCCTGTCCATGGCAGCAGGGTTGGACTAAGTGATCTCTGAAGGCCCCTTCCAACCCAAATCATTCCATGATTGGAGATATTCCCTTCTGTGACTGTTCAACTAGGTATATACTGATGTTTGCTAATACCTTTAGTGGTTTGAAAAAGTTTAATTATAAAATACACTTAATATTTAAATTAAATAACTTATTTAGCATTTGGAACACAACAAATTGGCTGCTGTAAATTCAGCTTGCCAATACTTTTTCTGTTACCTTGCTAAATATCAACTAGATCTTAACTTACATCCTCTTTATTAATGAAATAAGGTTTCTTCCTAACCCCTTCTATAAGCCTGGGAGAGTCAAAAATAATAATGCTGCACACAGATCTGGTTCGGATCCGGGCAGTGAATTCTTGGGTCTGAACTGGAAAATCTGAATACTGATGAACCTGTTAATCTAGCCCTTCAAAATGAGCTGCAAGACCAGACAGAAAATTACTTTTGTAGTTACGGGGTCTTTAAGTTATCCCAGGCAACTGCAAAACTATGTAACAAAGAGCCTGATGCCTCAAAAGCAACTTTCCTTTGCTCAGTTCAAATTCATTATACACCTCCAAAATGTTGTGAATACACTAACCTTCTGAGTTTTTACACTGAAGCCTTGCAATGCAGTCACAATGCCCAGGAAAACTCTATATGATTGGAATTATCTTTGATTTTACAGGTATTCTGTTACACAAGACCAAATGGCAAGTCTCCTCATTTTCACTGAAACTAGCTTTATTTTTTTTCAGATAGTAGCTAAAAGCTGTAAATGTAACTGTTACAATTACTGCTACACTTGTAAATTGTTAATCAACTTAAAATAGTTTAAAATCCATGCTGGTATAAACTTTCCTTAGTATTTCTTATAGATTGTTTACAGGTATAATGTAATCCAGATCGGGTTTTTAACTTTAATTTTACACAGCATAACTATGTTAGCAAGACAGGTATACTGTCTACTGAATAAATTTTTCTGTTCTGTAATTATTATATCCAACGTCCATGCTGATCTAGAATGCAGAAAGAGCTTTGCCTGGGATTTATACTTCATTTAGGCAAGAGGTTGGAAATCCTGCATCCTGGCAGTAACGATTATCCGTATTTTTGATCGTATCTGGTGAACGACATGCAGTATAATTTGGATTATGAGTAATTCTTCCTTCAATTCACTAAAGCTACAAAAGATATATACTTTCCTAGAAAAAAGAAAGGCCACTGACATGCAAATACCCATCACATGTTTTTGACTAGGATTAACTCAGGCTTCATTCCATGATAAAACTTTGCATGTGTCTAAGAAGGCTTCATATAAATGTAACTGCAAAACCAGATTTTGTATCAGGTCTTTGTGAAAAGAAATATTTCCTAAGTGTCTACATCTGCAAACCTCAGTCCTCTTATGTGGCCAGGTGCTATGTGACATCAGAAGTCCTTTTTGGGAAAATAATTGCGAATTAATCTTTCATTTCATAATATGTCACAAATAGAATTCAACACTGTCAGCTAGTCTCATGCTCATAATTCAGAGAAAAATAACCTGCAATGAACTGAAAAATTACGAAAGCACCAAGTGATTTTCATACCCCTCCACAGGCATGTTTTCCTCATCGTCAGTAAACACTGTACAATAATCCAGCCAGGATCTGACGGAAAAGGTGATTAAATCTGAAACACACTCTAGAATGTCCTTAGAAGCAGCAGAAGGTCCTTCAAACTGGGTAGCAGGAGAGTCCTGTAATTTTTATACCAGGAAATACCAATTTTTTACATAAAATGCAGGTGTTATGGGGTCTTCTTTGAATGTGTGTGCATGTGCGCATGAGTGTACGTGACAATTTATTACTAACAGTAAACATCCATCATAAATAACAAGAAAAATTCCAGCTATTTCAGGCTCTGACTAATGTAATGGTTGAAGTAAGTGATTTTTCTACAAAATTGTGTTGACATGATAAAATATATCAATGTAAAACAGGATTATAATTGGAAATGGATTCTTTGGTATGCACGTAGTTTAAAGTAATACTGATTGTCAAACACTGATGTTAGCTATGGCTTAGTTGCAGCTATTCTGTCTTGTGTTCATGGTCAACAAAAATACTAATTACACCTGAGTGGAAAATTTGCAAAATTAAGTCCCCACCTCTACAGATGGCTCTTCCAGTACAGAACAAGAAAACTTTATTTTAATATTTTTATATCTGATCTACTCAAGGACTTTTGCTGATCAGCGCAAATAAGGGGCCTTTGAACCTGTCACAGACTGTGAAAGCTGAATAAACATTCTAATTGGTTATAGCTCTTTAAATTAGTTTGACATCTGACAAAATGCTTAAATGCTCTTTTTTCTCTGGAGATGAACAGTATAAAGTGTAAACGCTGTAAGATGCCTGACAAGGCTCACAGCACATTTATTATTTTGCTGTAGAATCCTACCACTAGGGATTCTAGAAAAGGTTTATTAAAATCTTGTCAACACTTAGTAATAATGTAAGTTCACATTTTAACAAAAATCTTTTGTCATTGCCAACAGCATACCATGAAAGTAGTTCAAGCATAATAAAACTTTACAATGGAATTTTGGCAAGAAGTCTACCTCAATATTTCAAGCAGACAGAATCAGTTTTTAAAACCTTCCGCAACTCGGCAGAACACCAGAAATTTAATTTTAATTTCACGCAAAGCAAGAGCAGAATTTTAAAGACTTCTCACTTACCATGAGGAAGTTAGCCCAAGAGATGTTGAGGAAATATGCAGCATTGTAGTACATGGTGCTTTACAGAAAGAACAGAAAGGGCTCACTAACGTCAGAACAAAACTAAACAACAAAAAGCAAACCAAATCAAACAAACCTACAATCATTACCAAGGAACAAAGAGGGGAAATGCAAAACAGCACAAGCACCTTAACAACATCAGCTACAGGCATAGATTTTTTTTAAAACAAAATACAAGCAAAAAATGAGTTCCAGAATTCACTCTTAATTAAAATATGTATAGCATGTTATGCTCTCTCTAAACATGGTATAAGCAGGAACAGCCGAAGTTACATTATAAGTATTGTAATATTTTTATACTCAAAAATCTCTAACTCCAAAGTTACCTTACTTCAGGTTGATTTTTTTTGGTGCAAGCAAAGAAAAGAATACAAATATGAAAATACAGATAATTTTGAATACAGCAGAACACACTTGTTCCGTTAAAAAACAAAGGCACACCACAAAACAAAATCAAAAACCAGACCTTATGATCCTGGAAAGAAAACTGATCACATAAGCAAAGACAGTGGCAAAATACATTTTTTGCAAACACATTCAAAACCTGTGTCTAAGCTTCTTAGAGTACTAAAAATCTGCTAGTCTCTTAAAAATCTATTACAATATTCTCTACTGGAAATCAAATCTATTTCTGCAATTAAAGGCCAATTGATATTGTGTAGTAAGCAACCACTCAAGGTTCAGTTGTTAATGTGTTTTCATAAAAAAAAATCCTACACTAAAAAGAAACAAAATAATCAGGAGGGGGCTTGAATATGCCTTTTTCACTTCACACAGTAATACCACCAGGTAAAAAGCAGCTTTCTCATCTTTTGTGAAAGTGCTGAGAAACTTGAACAAATGGCAGCTGAATGAGCACAGTATCAAATACAACTTGTAGCAAGGACAAATCTTTGTCAGACAAGACACCACAAGTGACAACTATTATTTTTTTATATACATGAATAAATTTTATGTCCAGCCGCTACATGTGATGCATAGAATTAATTATTTTAGTAAAGGCTCTTTTTGGAGGGTCTGAATCTTCACACTTGGAAAAAAGTGATATTTTACTTGATATCTTGCTGCTCTCTCCTATTTCTTAGGAAACTTATTGTTAACTAGAACACAAAAATGGCTCTGCATGTTACCTTATGAAGATCTTTGTATTTGTATATACTTCTTTTTTTTTAATTCATCCATAAACCTGATTACTACTGCTTTAAAAAGCATTCTGAGAAGACCAATCTGTTTTGGAGGGGTAACTACGGAAAGAATTTCCTCAATGCCCAGTGGTAAAGATGGGAATTACTCATTTTAAAAGTGCAATG